ACACACACACACACACATGCATACACAAACAAAACTACAAAAAAAAATACTATAGTACTTAAACAAGAATTACTGGTCCAGTGCTTTTTCAGACAGACTTAGAGGAAGTGTTTCATGTCACACTGCGGGACACTTTCACTGCTTGATATCAACTACCTCTACACACACAAGAAAAACAGGTGCACCCTTGCAATTAATAAGGCCTGTCAAGCAAACACACACACACACACACCTACACATGTTTGTGGGGACTTTCCATAGACTTCTATTACTTTTATACTGACCAAACCATATTTTCTATCCCCTAAACCTACCCCTTACAGAAAACCTGCTTGCATCATTTACTATTTTTAATAAATGTTTTCCTCGTGTGGACCAAATTTAAAAAAATTTCAGCTTTTACTATCACATTTGGTCCCCATAATGTAGCACAAACAAGCACACACACACAGGAAGGCTGATCTGTCAGAGAAACACACATCCGCAGCGGACAGCGCCGTGGTGCTGAAAACACCGCGCCGGGCTCCATGGCAAGCGCAATCGCGCAAACATCGCCGCGCTGGGCGTCGCGTTAATAGTTAACGCCTGACCTATTCGACAGCACGCATTCAAACTTGTAGTAATCTCTGGTATAAACGGCGGCTGGTGGGATTTTTAGCGAAGATGGCGCCCACAGCTAACCCAGCCCACCAGAGGCGAAATACTACATCCACACGCGGCACGCGAGCGACGAAAAGCCGCCAGACGCGTGACATTGACCCCTCTGACGGCTACCCCTTCTGTTTTGTCCGCGCTCGTCTCAACAATAGCCTAATATTGACAGTCGACGTAAGCAGACGTATTACATTTCAGGAGACAGTCATGCTGAAAACGACAGGAGGGAGCGCGTTTAAAGAGACAAATGCAGTCCTCCTCGCCCCCTATTAAGGGTGCTGACCACAAGCTTACTTCAGCATGGACTGCTCTTTCTCCTCCTCTTTCTTCTGCCGCTCCATGACCGAGAGGATGATCCTCCTCTCCTCCTCGGTGAGGTGGCTCAGGTCCGGCGGAGCGGGAGCCGCAGGGGCCCCCAAAGCTGACATCTTCAGGTGTGGATGCTGCTGAGAGAGCGATGCGTGAACATGAAACACATCTCTATGCATCCTACACGTGTAGCCAGTGTTGTGTTTATGCGATGCATAAGTGGACTGATCTCATCTACTACATGCATTACGATGATGAAGACCGCAGACAACTAATGGTTTCATGATAATAACACCTTCACACCCTGCATTGGTGGATTTAGTGGTGCATTATTAGCTAGAATCAATATGCATCCCAGTGACAGCAATGTAGCTTGTCACGCTGCCTCATAAAAACAAGCATCTTCTGAGAATGAGGTCTGAGAAAACCCTCGGGCTTCTCGCGTTTCCGTGAGCCGAGGGCATCCCAGGTTTTAATGTGTGTGTGGAGATAAAACGGGCGCTTGCCTTTTATTTCGCAATCATGGTGAATGTAGTCTAACCCATGGCTGCTGCTGCTGCTGCTGCCGCCGCTGCCGCGATCCTTATTGCGGTTGTCGGCGGACTTCCCCGCGATTCCCTCCTGCTGCTGCCGCTGCTGCTGCTAACTCCAAGAGACTTCTTGAATGCACAAAAATGGATGCGGCAGGGAAACGGTCCGATAGGAGAGCGAGGCGGAGCGACGGTCTTACGTAGGACAAAGATCAGATGGTCCGGTCGCACTTCCGCTGCCCCGCCCGCCGCGTTCATTAACGAGAGGCGAGAGAGTTGGGAAAGTTCCTTTGGAAATGTAGTAGGTTACAGATTACAAGTAGTGTAACTATTTCAGTTACTTTAATAAAGCAATGGGTTACACTTTATTTTAAGGTGTCCTTGTTATTATACATTTAAGTAGGCTACTGAGTAATAATATTAATTAACTTCATGTACCCTACTATACACTCTAAAAAATGCTGGGTTAAATACAACCCAGTGCTGGGTAAAATAGGGACAAACCCAGCAATTGGGTTGTTTTGACCCAGCAGTTGGGTTAAATGTTTAACCCAACCTTCTGGGTAGTAACCCAACCGCTGGGTCAAAACAACCCAATTCCTGGGTTTGTCCCTATTTTACCCAGCACTGGGTTGTATTTAACCCAGCATTTTTTAGAGTGTAATAAAAGGCACGGTCAAAACAACCCAATTCCTGGGTTTGTCCCTATTTTACCCAGCACTGGGTTGTATTTAACCCAGCATTTTTTAGAGTGTAGGGTTAGGGTTTGGCTTAGGGTTACTTGCATGTAATTATGCATAATTAAAATAGTAATGTAACATGTAACTAGGGCACCTTAAAATAAAGTGTCACCAATTAATGTAACTTATTACATTTGATTACTTTTCTCAGATTATATTGTTTTAACCGTTAATCGTTTTGAAACATTTAAAGCAGGCAGGGTTAACCTTAGAGTATTATTCACCACTGATTACTGTCAGACTTTCAAAATCCTTTATCACTTAAGATTAGAATCATTTAATTTGAAAGCACGGCCACCACAAAATCAGACTTTAGCACCTCTTTTTACTTTGAGGTTGTTCTGAGGTTAAATGCAGATTTAAAATTATAACAAGATATAGTTTAATAGCTGTGATACCGTTTTTTAAATCAAATCTTTGTATAGATATGACAGGAAACACCGGCATCTAACAATGCCTTGGAAAAAAAACAGTTAATCTTAAAAAATAAAGCATATAGCCTACATAAATCGAAATAGGAAATAAAACAGTTATTGAATAAGCATTTGTACTATTCTGTGTCCTAAACTCCTGAAATATTGGTGCCTCATATTTTAGAGCAGTCGATGCAATTTATTAAAGAAATCAATTAAATCTGTGTGTGTTTGTGTGTGTGTGTGTGTGTGTGTATGTGTGTCTGTCTGTGTGTGTGTGAAAATATTCAGATGTAACCTCCTTTGTAATAGTTAACATTTTCACAAGTAACTGTATTTTAAAAATTTGTAAACATTTTTCTCAGTAACTGTAACTGAATACAATTACATTTATTTTGTAATTAAATTACATAATTCCTTTACATGTTACTACTTCCCAACACTGGTGACAAGTCATCAACCAGATTTTTATTTATTTATTATGTTTTTAATTTATTATTATTTTTAAACGGTTTATGTCTCAGACTGTGGTGAATGAGAACTCTTTCTATTAGTTTAAATTATTTTTTTGTCTCCTCAGACCTCATCTAACTTAATGCCATTGCCATCCAATCATCCATGTGTTTTTAGAAGGGCATTATAAAACTAAAAGGCATAACCCAAAACTAAGTATTAATTGAGTGGCAGATTATAATTTGAATGTTAAAGTGATATATTTTAATTACTTTCATTAAATCTGGACATCAGTTAGTGGCATTGCACATAGGCCTATAATCAGATTTCCACTACCTTTCAAAAGTGTGGGGTCAGTAAGTGTGTGTGTGTGTGTGTGTGTGTGTGTGTGTGTGTGTAATTCAGCAAGAACTAATTATGTTTGTCAAAAGTAACTGTGAATACATTTACAATTATAAAAGATTTCTAATTCAAATAAATGCAGTTCTTTCTATTCGTTAAAGAATCCTGAAAAAAATGTATCACTGTTTTCATCATTGATGATTATAAGAAAATCAGCATATTAGAGTGATTTCTGAAGGATCATGTGACACTGAATACTGACGTAATGATGCTGAAAATTCAGCTTTGATCACTGGAGTAAATTACATTTTTTTTAATATATTTAAACAGAAAACAGTTATTTTAAACTGTATTAATAATTCACAGTTTTTGTTTTTACTGTATTTTTTTTTTATCAAATAAATGCAGCCTTGGTGAGTATAACACTTCCTAAAACATATAAAAATCTTACAGACCAGTTTAAACAACAGCTCACTGAAAAAACTAAACAAAACAAGGAATAATGCAATCATATTATGCAATGCAAGTTTCGTGATTTCATGATGATAAGCAATGGTGTCATTTCTTTACCAGCAGATACAATCATCAATAATCACTTTTTTTGTCGACAAACTGCCTTACAATTTATACCATTTTACGTAATAATGGACCAACACGAGCATCATCTTTGGAGCAGGTATGATGTCTTATATGAAATGTGTGAATAGTTTTATACAGCTAAAACATTACCTAAACATTTTAAAATAAATGCATCAAAATGATAAAAATGCAAATCGGATTTTATATTTGAGCTTCCACCTTATGATGTACTAATACTACTACTACAATCAACATCAAAAATAATAATTTAAAACATTGAATCTTAATCCTTTAGGTCGAAATGGCATATATAAATTGTATGTAAAATATACATAAAATATAAAAGCTGTTTTCTTCTTTTTCTTTCCGATTGCTGTAGCCTATAAAATAATAACCGGTTTTGAAAGTAGTGTGAAGGAGAAAATTCATTCATTAAATTAATTAATTCATTCAAAATCAATCATTCATTCATTAATTTTGAGTACCTTGAATACATAGGCCTACTATAAGGCGTCGTATTATAATATAAATTAGTACGAAATAGTATTTATAGCACATTTACTATAAACATATAAATAGCAGGTTACAGTAAATATAGTGTAATAAGTCGTCGTCAAATATAGCTCACGCTCAATCGCTAAACAATGCAGTCACGCGCACAGATTTCTAGAGCCTGTGGAGAGGGCGGAACTCTGAATGACGTCACGTCATACGTGATGGGGATTGGCTGCTGCGACGCACGTCGCCCCGCCCACTGATATGCGTCACCACGCTCTGTTATTTACCTTCTTCACCCGCAGCGGAGGTCAGACGAGCGGTCGCGCTTAATAATGGCCCAGCGGTGGCTACTGAGTTTAATCGGGGCTTTGGTTACTTGATGTTTATATATA